AAAACCATGTCTTCTCGGATAAGGACTTAAAATGGAGGTCCAGAGAATCAGTCTTTTGTTAGTCTGTTTAAATGAAATCGCGAACCCTCTCGGTAAATGATGAAGAATGGTCAATAACATTTCTTAATACACATAAAACTAATCTTTTCATTTTCAGCAGCAGTACAATTAGGTGAACTAATAACACATATTTTTTTCAGCATTACACCCTTCTAGGAAAATATTACAGAATTTTAATTGGATACTTTAACAGTGAAATGTAGTTTTTGGAGATTTTTCAGATCGCAAATTTTGGAAACAGCATTCTCAGTCATCCACGCAACACCCCTTCTTTCTGGCGAAAAGATCGCAATTTCTTTGAAACAGCATTCTGAGTCATCCACCCAACACCCCTGCTTTCTCTGGCAAAAAGTGTTCAAGTATGCTCAAGTTATGCTGACAAAATATCAGTGGGGACAAGACGCCAAACTGAAAGAACATGACTGAAATATAATTATGATTATTGATCTGAAGTAAGTAGTGGCTATCTTCAAATATAATTTAGTTGAATTCCGTTTTCTTTTCAAATGTCCATTATACTCTGACCTCAGAAAAAATGATCATCCTACCGTTTTATCTGATCAATTCCGAGCTGATTAAATTTTGAAGGGCCAGGGACTAATTTTAAAATTTTGTCTAAAGCCCATAGTTTTAATCACAAGCTTGTCAAAATTGGTCACAATATTACATGACCAAAGATCTCATACCTCCGCCAACAAAGTTGGCAGGAGGTTATGTTTTTGCCCCTGTTTATTTATTTATTACCGGTACCTCCGCTAACGAAGTTGGCAGCACGTTATGTTTTGGCCTGTTTATTTATTTAGTTAAATTTGTCTTTCGGCATATTTGTTGTGAACAGCCTACAGCCCATAGTTTTTATCAGAAATTCATCAAACTTGGCCACAATGTCCCTTTACGATCTAGAGCTGTTCTATTTTCTCTATGGTCAAGGTCACAATCAACGAAAACTACAGTGTTGCAATTCATGTTGCCATCGCTACAGTTCAATTCAATTTCGTCGTATTCATTATGGTTTTACACAATTTAGGCAAGCTCGGAAAAGGCACAATCTTTCAGAAGAGAAAAGAACACTCAAACGAAAGGGATGCAAATGTTACAAAATGACAAGAGCGTCACAGTGGTTCTGGGTTTAACATGGCTCGTCTGTTTCTTAGCCACTGGAGATGCTTCAACAATAATCCTGTGGTTGTTTTGTATTCTTAATTCTTCCAAGGATCTCTCATTTTTCTAATAATGTACTGTGTCAGAAATAAGGAAGTTCGCAATCTTAGCGAGTAATCATGTGCAGTGTGCGAAATAATTGCTTTAAGTTCATGTCTGGTGAAACGAAGTTTATTCTAGTCTTAAAACGTTTTTATCTAGTACACAAAGATCATGCTCAAATTCCTTTTCGTATCCTAACCAGTCTAGACATTATCACAGTAAAAGTAGTCAAGTTAAGCTCGGAAAACACTCATCCACTTCTGAAAACGTCAGTCTAAGGCGATAATGTATTCATTTTTTTTATGCATATTCCAATCGATTAGGCACAGTGGGGCTCCACTATGGTTAGCTTTGGGTTAAAGTTTGAAGATTGCAGGCCCGTACGCAGGATTTTTATTTGGTAGGTGCGAATTTGTAGAGACACCAAAATGGCTCCAGGAAGGGGGGGGGGGGGAAGCCTTGTGAGATCGAGGTGCGGATCTTAGGCATTTTTCATAATTTGAAGTGTTTTATGTTAAAAACTACAAAAAAAAATTATTAGATCCGATTTTCTTAATTACAAAATAATATGATCATATTCCGCTTGTACCTAACCTAAAACCCTAATGATCTTAGATGAGTTAATAAGCAGTGTACTTCATTTATTTTACTGCTTGTCTATGCTCTAGCCTTTTCAATGTTTGTTTTCTTTCGCAAGTGGCCGAGCGGTAACCCTTATAAGCCTTAACATCGGTGCTAGTTCGAGCCGTTCCTCGGACCTCGACAATGAATCGGTTGGTAAAACCATGTCTTCTCGGATAAGGACTTAAAATGGAGGTCCAGAGATTATGTACACGCCTGGCTCGTGTGCACTTTAAAGAACCCATTGCACCTTTCGAAAGATTAGGGGTAGTACCCCGATGCTATGGTTTATTTCAGCCCCTGTCGCTGTGGAATGATGTGAACATGTGGCTACTATTATAAGCGCCTCTTTAGGCAGTTATGGACCACGCCCATACAAAATTCAGCAAAATGAATGGTGAGATACTTTAATTAGGTGGATAGCGTTAAGATGATTTGTCGAACTTGTATGTTTAGGTCTTAAGGATTTATATTTATATTGTATACGAATTTGAAGAGCATTGAGTTTCCCTTTGTGGATCAATAATGTGTTCTTGTCTTATAAATTATGAAGTAATTGTAATTAACTGGTCATATGAACCTATACGTACGTTTGCATTCTATCTTTGGTACATCCCATCTGCAGTTTCTGCAGATTGTAAAACAGAGCAGCCAACACGTTGGCTGCCAGTTCAAACAAATCAACTACCGGATCAAGAAGGGGAACGTTGCCACTAAATTTTAAAATTTCAGTGCATGTCAATGTTATGTATTGAAATAAGCGCTACTCGCTTATTGTTTGAACAATTCTGGATCTGCCTCTGGCATATCAATATAACTATTCTTCATTAATGATTTTAAAATAAAACCCTATCATATGTTTCGTTGAAGTGAATGTTTACAATGATGTAAATATGCCTACATCTGATGATATAAAAAAGAACCAACTAATAAATAAGTCATGGAAAATGCCCCAACTAACAAACAATAAATAAAAACATCACAAGCCATTTAATTACCAAGCAGACTGTTGTTAATCGTAAGCCATACATGTTCCAGAGGCTCTACTTCCCTTTGTCTTAGAGGTTCGATCAGGAAAGCGAGGATAACGCTATGCAACAAGAACCCAGTTAGGCTGGGGTGTAAGTGGCCCTGTTGGCAGCAGAACTAGTAAAACTGTGTCATCACACTTTGTTACTCCCGAACAGCAGGTTAGATATTTTTTCAGTTTTTCGAAAATCCTAATTGTTATGGGGATGATACAAGAGGACTGTCTGTCAATGACAAGAAAGCAGTTGATGTATGGGCAAAAATTATAATGTATACCGAAGGACATTATCAAGGGTCGATACCATTCGAAAGCGGAACGCCGAACTTGCCTAACAACTGTTTGAGTGCTGAACTGAGACTAAGAGGGGATGGCTGAAAAGTAATCCTTCTATGACCTATACGGTAAGTCGATGAACCGTTTCTTGGAGGATGGCCATTCAGAAGTTGTTCCAGACAGTAAGCCTCCGAAAACCTGTGGTGTTTGGTATCTACTGCATAGCCCTGTGCCGAAAGAAGAGGACAAGGTAAGAATTGTCTTTGATTGCCAAACATAGTGGAATATATTTAAATGATGAGATTTTTTAAGGACCTGACTTTACTAATAATCCACTGGGTATTTTACTGCGGTTTGGGAGGTATCCATTTGCTGTGATAGTTGATGTACAGATGATGTTCTATCAGGCTAGGGAGCCAACGGCAGATAGAAATGTCCTGAGATACCTCCGGTAGAGTCAGAGTTGTTGTGCATTAGCTCTGGGGTGGACTAAAGAAGATAACAAACAGTATTACAGGACGGATACAGTTAGAAGTGTGAGCAGAGAGTTCCACACGTCGATGACTGTCTAATCTCTGTGGAGAGTGCTGTTGAATATTGAGTTAGTGAACTAAGGAGTCTCCTTGCCAGATGAGGGTTCAGGTTGACAGAGTGACCAACTGTCCAACGACCATACAATCGGTTCCAGAAGAGGAAAGAGCAAAACAGGTGAAATGTTTAGATTTAAGTTGTGAAGCTTTACCAGCTGAGAAAGCTCTATGCGTACATTTGGATGTGGAACTTGGCTCTTTCGACTTCAAAATAAAGGTAAAGTATAATCCCGAAACTAGAAGGAGATTGCTAAGCACATTAAGCTCAACTTACAATCCACAACATCAACATTTACACTAAAGGCAACAGTTTTGATGCAGGAACCAAGTGAGCGGAAGCTAGAGTGAGACGATCCACTACTGGCAGACTCTTTTGTTGGACAATTTACACTCAACAGATGTATTCAGCCCCATAACTTGGGAAGGAAATTGAATATTATTAGTTACATCATTTTTCAGACGTTTTAGAAGCAAGGCATATGGGGCAGTCACTTACAATAGGACGAACAAATCGGAAGGTAGTGTTCATTGTTCCTTGTCGACTGCAAGATGCTGTCTTTGCCCAATAAAAAGGGTTACTATCCCCAGGCTAAAGTTGATGGCAGCAACTGTTGCCTGGATAAGATGGTTAGACGACAAGTGGACTATATGGCATTCAACATTTTTGACAGACAGCATGATCGTTTTGCAATACCGTATATTAAAAATGAGGAAAAAACGATTCAAAACATTCGTCAGTAACAGACTGTCAGTGATACACAGTGAATCAGAGTCAAACAGTGGCGATATGTGCGGAGTGGGTTGAATCATGCGGATAATGCCTCTAGGGGCCCGAACGCAAAGGATTGATGCATTACGATAACATTTTGCAAGCAGTGCAATTTAATTCACTAAATACGCTCTCAATGATGGGCCGACGCGCACTGTGCGCTTCACTATGGATGGCGAGTGAAGGGTGTGATTGATTTGGAACAGTTTATTTATAATGGTTATTTATAAAATTTACGTTAGGTCAACTGCTCTCTATAGTTTTACTTTATAAGTTATCTTTAGTTCAAGATCCAAACTTATGAAGTTAAAGAAACAGATGTAACCTCCAAACTAATAAATGAGCATAATGTCTGAAAAAGTGTAAAAATAAAGTATTCACAAAAAAGGCACAGCAGAATGAAGAGCAAGAGCTTAGAAAAAAGTTCTAATAACTACACAAAAGTTGTGCGATCGTTACTAAAGAGGTTTAAATATGCTTCGTAAGAAATGGTCGAAATAAACAATCGGAATAGACAAAACTGTATATAGGCTAGAGTCCAGATTCAAGAAGATGGAGGGGGTGTATGGACACCTAAAATATATATCCACCACAACTGACCAAGTGATGCGTACGGGTATAGACCAAATCACACCTAAAAATTTAAATATTTTGTTAAAAGGCAGCTATTCCAAGTTGGGTCTTACACAATGTATAGTACATGACCACCTAAAATAAATACAATTGACATTTACACATGTTTTAAGAATTACAGCAATTTAGATCCCATGTTGGAAGTTGAGAATGATGTAATCAGAGTAGGAGGAAGGTTGAGAAGCCACATGTCCAAACAGTAATCGCACAAAAGTACACAAAATGTTTACATAGACCACTCACTGACAACATATATCTGTTGCTAGCAAACCAACTTTACAGTTACCAATTCAGACCGGGTTTACCAGAACAGAATGTAGTGCATACTGTAACCTAGCCAAGGGCTGGAAAATGAAAGTAGCTTTGACTATTTGTGCCTGTGCAAGTGCGAGAATCTGTGGTTACATTAACATGTATGCCTTTTGAAAACAGTTCTATCAATACTTTCTGCTCACAGAAGCTTGCTAAGCAAGTGAATGTCATTGGGACGAGACAAACGTTGTATTTAACCACTTTATATAGGAGAAATTATAGCGCTATAGATGCCACATTGGTCAGTCTGGAGTTGTGTAGACTCGAAGAGATTACCTTCGCTATGAAATCTAAAAACTGGAAAACCGTCTTACAAGAAGGGGATTCCTGAGTATTTTAGCTCTACGTACTGTATGACCCTCATGGCTATATTTGTCCTTTCACGCTAAAGGCAAAGGTAATAATTCAGGAACTAAGTAGGCGGGATCTTAGTTGGGATGGCCATTGCCTAAATATCTGCTAAATAAAGAGTTGGCAGAAGTGGAAAAATGAGTTACCCAAGATCAAACACTTTGTAGATGTATTCAACCTCATGATTTTGGAAGAGTTACTGAGTACCAACAATCACATCAGTTCTCGGATGCATCCAAGTTAACATTCGGTACAATGTCATACATTCGTCTGGTAAACGCAAATGGCCAAATCCATTGTAGTCTGTTGACAGCTAAGGGGCTATTCACAATTATCAACATTTTCACAAGTGTAAACAGTACTCATTTTTTGGTACCCCCTCCCTCCCCTCTGATAGTGTACAAACAATATTGATTTTGCAAAACCATTCTCCAGCCAACTAAAGCAATGTAATTGGTTGCTTAAAAATGAATATTATATTTAATATTGAGAGAAGCAAAATATGCCATCATAGAGATGTCCAGCAAAACAAGGTTACTACTTTTATATTTTTGTAAATTTACATTGTTTTGTCTTGGAACGTCTGTGTTGCTAACCCAAGAATATTACTGTAATTACTCATTTGCTGACCTGTGTGTTGTCATCCTAAACTTTCTCTATCACACCTTACCATTGCAGCAACTGTGAGTCCCCACGGTCCAAGGGAGTGCATGTTCACAGCAACAGACCAAGTGTGTTCAGGTCTCAGGGAATGCGAAAACGAGACAGTGAAAGAACACTATTTTTTGTACGAGTATGCAAACAGGAACAGGAAGATTTTGCAATCGATTTTCAAACAAGGTAGTGAAAGCTTTCTATTGTGCCAAACCCACTGTAACTTTCTTCCATTAAATACAGAATCAAGTTGCCTTAGGTAATGAAGTGTTGCTGTAATTCTGTCGCCATAGGAACTCCGATTTGTAGGCAAGTCCCTCATCACAGCTGTTGGAACATGTGTAGATTAAGAGAGTGCCCCAGTCAATGCTATCTTGAATACTGTCAACATTCATATATACCAACAGCTGAGGTAATATCTATCAAAGTGGAAGAAAACACATTAACTCAATTTACTGTATATAATATATAATATCATTCAAGCCTGTAGGATGGATTTCTGAAGGAGGGTTCTAATTTTTCACAAAAGGGCACTTTGTGTCCACACCCACCTCAGCCCCATGGATGATTTTCAAAATCTCTCCTTATATTCATGTAAGTTGAGCAGTGCCCTCCAGCAGCTACAAATTAAAACAATTAATCCCTTTTCATACTTTAAAATTTTATTGTCAAAAACATGTGACATTCCTATATATGGTCATGATCACATCACATCATGACCATATATAGGCACATCATGACTATATGAAGAAATTTGAACAGAGCTTTATGGAGAAAAAAAACATCAACCAACCTGGAATTCAAACTGCCGGTTAGCCCCACAATGGCATTTAGGAATATCGCTCTCTTTTGGTTGTCCTTCTGAAGACACCCACAATGGTTGACCACCTCTTTGATAGCGCAGAACCTTAAAGATAAAAAAAAAATAATAAAACAATTCACAATATGGTAAAGGCAACTTCAGTCTATTTTGTGAATAATTATTTACTTGGATAAACCGAATAATTGTCCATTCTCTCTCAAGTGAGGACATCCCTAGAAAATAAAATGGAACAGTCGGCCATCATGCATGAACATCCCACGAATAGTGTTCTTGTCAAACCTATCTAAAAATTTACATCCTTTATATTTTATGTCTAATTTCATAGCTATAGTTCAAATCCAAATTTGTTCTTCTCAAACCTACAACAATTTTTACCCTTGGAAACAGACATTTTTTTAAACACCACACAAAAAGCAACAAAAGATGAAATATTGTTGTACAAAATATCTATTCAATTAATATAATTAGATAGGCCTACTGTATTATGGTGTGATAAAGACTGCCCTCAATCCAGTGGCTTGTGTTTGTGCAAAAAATTAAAATTCACCAAGCACTTTACCATACAAAGTGAGATACAGGTGTAATAATAGTATAGTAATATATTAAACATTTAATTATACAAATATTAAATAATGGTGATTGTTAACTGTAATAGAATAACAACCAATAACTTCTTTATTATTATGTACTGCAATGATGCTAGCATGATTGGGGCAATATTTCAAGTGAATATTACAAATTATAATAGTAATATATAATGCCATGATATCAATTATCATAATAAGTAATAAAAGTAATAACAACGATTGACAACAATATTATTAGACTTATTAATAAGTCTCATTATCCAAACATAATATAAGTACTGTATTTCCCTGTTTGGATTCTCTGCAGACATTATTCTCCTGAAGACGATTGAAGCAACTCAATCGACATTCTCAACAAACAACTATCTCAGAACTATCTATGTGGTGTACCGCAAGCATTAATAATATTATTATTCTCAAAGAATTATTAATATATAAAATAGTAATTAAATTATTATAATAAAAATAATACTGTACAGGTATAATATAACAGAAATAATAATTATTAGTTATAATTTCATACCTGCTCAGGTTCCATTTCTGTTTTTTCTTTAAATTTTCTAAATTGTTTGTCCTCCTCACCATATGCCATGCCCTCAAGTTCCTTCTCATCAAATGTTAAAGCTGCAGTTTTCTTTCCTTCATCATTTGCCATCTGTTGAGAATACTCGTTCAGAAGTTTATCCTCTGGTTTAGTTAATACTGGTTTGATTTCCTGCTCTTCTGTTTCCATTACCACTTCAAATTCAGGGAACAGAACCATAGTTGGTGCGTTTGGCTTGTGTGACCCTTTAAAGAAAGAGAAAGTAAGAATTTCAGCATAATGCACTTTATAATTCAGTGGTGACATCATCACTTTCATTTGCACTGAATTTTCCTATTCCCAACTCATCACTAATTCTATATAGTGCCTTTTTTTTTTTTTGCGTCTCGTGTGCATATAGCTCAAAGATTGAGTAGTTTTACTAGAGTACATCATGATTGAATGTTTCGTTGCTAGGTCAAGCTATAACGCACAAAGCAAAACAGATATCGCTCTACAGCACTTAACACGAATGAAGCCTAGACCGTCCTGTAAAAAATGGTTATGAGATAACAAGGCGATGGACTTAGAAAAGAACTGAAAAAATAAGGCAAAGGTGGAATAATCCATGTTTATAGTACATTTAATTTAATTAATAAATATCTACCAGCAGGCTAGGCCTACCTACAGTAATAACCCAATTTTTTCCAGAAAATAATGGCTCTATCAACTTCTACCTATAGTGTACTGAAAACTTACTATAATTGCTAAGCATGACCGAAGTTAAATTTGGAGTTAAGGGCAATAGTGCCAGAATTTCTAATAAAATAATGCAATAGGCTTATTGCTTTTATTTTCCAACACTATTCTTGAAATGTTTAAAAAACCATTATTCACTTTCCATACATTCGCATTCTACTAGATAAAGAAGTGCTATTCTAGAATAAACATATCAACAGTATATTAAATAAGACTACACCAAGATTATACCAAAGTGATCCTATAGCAATTTTATTGCGGCCCACTACCCCGTGTGTGTGGACCGTCTACAATCTTTAGATTGTATCTTGAAATGTTAAATGGGTGCGGCCGGCTCTCAAGTGTGAAATAAAAAATTTTCTTTGGCTCTCTGACCCATTTTTGTGCCCACCCTTGCAACTTGCCCTATACATTTGATGTGTTTTTCGAATTTCAAATATTTATTTGCCATTTACTGTCTTTCATGTCTTCATTATTGTAGGCAGCAAGCAAAAATACTTTCATTTATCACATGTTTGCTTGATGATAATAAAGCAATCTTGAATCAATCTGTACAAATAAAAAATAGGCAATCTGCAGATAGAAAAAAATTGACATGCCCTACCTGTACCCCCAATAGTACCACATGTTTCACGGTGACCCTGTTTCCAATTAATTACTTGGTGACTTCTACTGCAATAAGACGTTACTTTGCATTTTGAGCATTTTTTAGTCGCTAAGCAATGGCAGACCTCGCATACACATGTACCAAAAGTTTCAAGTCTGGGTTCACTTCCATCAGGCATCTGCCCCTCATCCGGTGGCTCACTACTATAGAATTCATTCGATCTTGGAAGTTGATTTCGAAACACTAGGAATGGCACCTTATCACTGTTAGCCTTGGTGTGGCATGCTGCATTCTTGCAACAGAACACAAAAAATGCTCGATGAAAACATCTTCCATCACCCGAAATGGGACAGTAGATTTGCAACAGAAATACGCACGGCTCACCGCATAAAGGGCAGCTAGTCCGCTCACTGACGGGTAGACCCTTTAACGCCAGCCAGGCTGGCTTACCACCAACCTTACTTGGAAAGAAATGTGAGGAAAGCCTCCAACTATCGATCTTTTCCACAAAACCAAGCTCAACATTTTGGGAACACATTTTTTCTCTTTATATCAGAATTTCAATTTACTTATACGGTTTAAATAACGTGTTAAAAGTCAGTCAGGCTAGGCCTAACCCCAGACGACTGTGTCAGATATCAGATCACTGTGTATGACAACAAAACACACGTGCTGTGCATAGCGCCCCCAAGTTCAAGTAAATATCCTGTGGGGGAAAAAAAATAAAAACACAAGAAGGAAGATCAATAAAATGGCGAGGGGTATAGTTTTAGCAATTGGGTGTGTTGCAGAATTTCTAGGGCTGTGTGCAATAATTACAATTGTTGTGGTGGGCAACAAAATCGGTGGCTTTGCAGCCTTTCCAAGTTTTAACTACCATCCACTTCTTATGACTCTGGGCTTCGTTTTCATATTCGGTCATGGTTAGTTTCCTCTAATTTGATATAGGCCTACCTCCCTCATGGTGATTCCATGAAGAAATATTGTAACAATAATATATTTATTAATATAATGTTCAGGGCTTTTTAATATTGCACAGTATTTCACAGAGTTCAAGGACCTGAGCGTTTATATAGGAGGCCGCCTTGGACATCTGCCAAATTGATTATACTTTATTGTATTTATTGTAAATTTATTTTTTAGAGACAATAGCGAATATTATCACTCTCCTACTCGTAAGTAGGTACTGACAGGAATTGAACCCAGGACCCTGGGATGAGGCAAGCAAACATATGCACAGAGACTGATTAATTTGATTTGGGTAAAACTGTTGTCCCATAAAATAGTCATGTTGGGGTTTGAAATAAGACTGATATATATTTTGCAGGAAATTGTGTTTAAATCTATCATTATCATTTGATTTTAAGACCTGCTGTTTACATTACACTTCTTTTTTCATAAGAAATTAAATTGATTAAAAATTAAAACAAAATAAGAATAAATTGAGGCTGAGATAAAATGTCAAATGAAATTTTTATTTAAAAAAAAACTAGAAAAACCAAAAACAAAAAAAATATATATGTACCTGTGCAGTACATGTGACTATGTAATACCCTCTCTAATACAGTACAATAGGTGTTCCTCCTGTCATTTGGGGCTATTTTTATCAGGTCCTTTCTTTCAGGGGCAATTTTTCCGGGCCACTTTTACCTACATTTCAGTACAGTGTATACTGCTGTACAATAATAATTTGAAAGTGTGTAAAATAAAAATAAATTTTGAGCCTGAAATCAGCCAAAAAAAAAAAAAAAAAAAAAAAACAACATTGAGCTTAGGAAAAATTGTACTGGTTCTTATAAAAAAAAGAAAAGAAAAAAGGACTATTAAATCAGGTTGTGACAAATATTTATATAAAAAAAGAAACAAGAACACTACATATTTGGAAATACTTATATTTTTTTATTAGAAATTAAGTGCAAATTACAGTAGAACTATTATAACCACTTTTTGCAACGAATGATCAAGCATCATCATTTCAACCACTCTAAAGCTATTTGATTTTATGGCCCTCCACTACATTTATTCATCCCCTTGCCCATTCTTAAAAAATTAGAGTTTACCAAATTATGTTATCGTCCACCTTCCACTAAAATATCTTCCACCACCCTTCTACAGCTAAAACCCTGTATGATCGGCTGTTTTAAATTCATGAACTGTTTTGAAAAATCCAATTGTTTTTTCTTATAATGTAGGGTTTAAATACTAAATATATATTTTTAATTATTTTCGTTTTCTGACTAGGAATTCTGACCTTTCAAATCATCAGTAATCTAAAGTTACACGTGTCTCGTTTAGTTGAGAAACTTATTCACTTTGGAACACTGTCTATGGGTTGTGTGTTTATGTTCATTGGATGGAGCTGTGCGGATAGCATGGACGGTACAACGCTGTTCCCACATGGATTGGATTATGAGGGCTCACCACACAGCTGCATTGGTCTTGCAGCAATCATTTTCTTTGGCCTTCAGGTAAGCAACCAATATAAAATATGCAAAAAATGTGAATTTAACTTGCTCATTTTGCAGTAACATACAAATAATTAACTTGAGCATATAAATTATTTGTATGCTACTGCAAAATGAGCAAGTTAAATTCACATTTTGCAGTAAAATACAAATAATTAACTTGAGCATATAAATTATTGAATTTAAAAAATGTGTACCCTGATTTTTATACTGGATAAGGCAAGGCTTTTTTTGTACTGTATCTTGTTTCGCGAACCCACTGCCCTCCAATATTGATAATTTAGAATAAAAATAACATTTTATTTTTGGCTAAACTGGAAATTTCGAAAAGAATTAAAGTTTTCTTTATTTTTATTTATGCCCACCATTGCCTTGAAATCACCAAAAATAAGATATGTATATTTATTCCTATTTATATAAATTTAAAGCATTTAACCCTCCCATTACTACACTGTTTACATTCAACAGTAACATTTTATTTTTATTATTTCCTCTGTCAGGATGTTTTTGGCAAAAATATTTACTAAACAAGAAAATACATTTTTTTAATAATTCTTTTTACACCCACCTATGACAATCTTTAAAGAAATAAGTTCGTGAAACAAGGAATAAAAAAAGTCTTTGCCAAGGATAATAAAACACTTGTTTCTATAATTTTTTGCTGTAAAATTATGGGTAAACATTTTTTAACTCAAAAATGAAGTTTTGTTTTGTGTTATGCATGGGATAATACATCTTGAAATATTTCTTTTCATTATAAATTCAGGTGTTGTAATTTCTGATTTCTACTCCTGTCAGATGTATAGTAGGCCTATATTATATTTTAATTATTGTTTTATTTTTTTCAAGTAAATACTATAGCACCTATGGCTGTCACTTTGATTTGATTTGATTTATTTTGCATTCAATATCACACACATAACAATAACATTTTGAGAACGAACATAAAAAAAGGAGATGAATAATTAATTGAATGCCTGGATGACCCATTAAGTCTAGTGATTGTACACCAGACTTATTTCCAATGGGGTCCAGAAGCCAGGGTAATTATTGCACAAGAGCGAATATTTACAGATAGTGATCTGGCAAGGTTTAGAAAATATAGTAAAATATATAAAATAGGTAAACATAGGCCAATTTAAAATTAAAAATTGAAAAAATTGTAAAAGTTAAAATTGAACATTAAAATTACAAATTGAGTAAATATAAAAACTGCATGTAGTAAAGGATAAAAACATGAAACATTAAAAATCAGTAAGTAAAAATTCTTTAAGCTTTCTCTTAAACATCCTGTGGTCAGTAACTTGCCCATGATGTGGTATTTCAAGTTCTTTTCAAATCCCACCAAAGTATTTATCTAAGAGATGACAGCAGTTTGGTAAATGATCATTTTGATTGCATTGTTTTTTCAGGGTTTAGTTGGTTTCACATTTTTCCTGTTTCCTAAATTTGGATCTGCATTACTGCGGCTAAAGGTTGTGAAGATTCATCGATTATTTGGATTGTTTTCATTCTTAATGGCAGTGGTGGCAACCTTGATGGGAGCAACTGAATTGGCAATGTTACAATCGTGAGTTTTGCAGTTTGTCACATTCCCTTCATGTTAATTTTTATTCTCAACAACAGTGTCAATCAAAATGTGTAATATTATTATTATTATTTAAGGTGCACAAAACATGCACCAAGAACTGTCAATAGCGAATACAGTATATCACTATCCTACTTGTAAGTGACAATCCCTTTCACAAGACAAACATATACACATGATGCTTTACATAAACTAATTCTCAATATGAAGTTTAGGGAGTGGAGTTTTTTTTTTGGGCTTGCGACACTGACAGGAATTGAACCCAGGACCCTGGGATTGGAAGGCAGACATCTTAACCACCAAAGCTAATCAACTCCACTCCAATACTAATAATAATAATACTAGGTTTAAGTGTTCTGTGTCTTAAACATTTTGAAGTACTGAAGTATCTAGGATTTAAAAGGGGTGCTGCAACCCTACATCTTAAAAATGTTTTGCTTAATATTACTCTTTTTTGGTGTGTTTTGTCTTGGAAAATCATGATAGTAAATGATAAAAAATCATCTTTAATATACAGTGTCTAATCTAGTCAATTATAGCCATAAATGATTTTATCATAGCTGCATCTGTAATTGCTATAAAAATAGTTTTTCTTGCTGAGATCTCGGCAAGTATTGAGTATGAAACAGGGGAGGGGGTCCTTAGGGTGAGGACGAATCCACTGTCTTTTCTCTCTCGTAATTTTAGAATCAAATCAAGACATCATTTCAATTCAAGCTACGGGGTTGGCCAAGATGTGTTCCTCACGCTTCTCGTTAGACCCCAGGTCAAACCTGGCCAGTGTCGGGTTTGAATTGGAGCCTGATCGTCCAGCATAACCCTCATAATGAGAGTAAGGCAGGCCAGGTATTTGTTATAGATGTTGTACTAACTCCCTGGGCAGGCTAAGGACTATGTTTGTATCTGGATGTATTTGTTACATGTTGTAGTTATGGCAGGAGGCGCTGCACTGTGGATAGCATGGGTCCACAGGGACCTAGACCAAGTTTCCGATTTCCAATTTGAATGAGGACAAATAAAGAATTATTAATATTAACAGCTAGTTTTCAATCAGTTATTTCAACCTTCTTTTTTAATAGAGTGCTCATTGCCATCACAAATTTAAAATCATTTTTTTTTTTACTTTTGAAGTTTACAGTCTGCTAGTGAATCAACTCCATCCATCACACCTCTTGTTGTTGTCTTCGTGTCTTGCATTCTGATGTTTGCGTTTTCAGTCATTTCAATTCAAATTCAACCGGTAATGACTGCGGAAGACAAGGACTATTCACAAACACGAACTGTACAAGAAGAAATGTCCGAAATGGTTCATGACTTGAACAACACAACTTCAGAATAGAATAAAAAGCTTACATAATGGCGGCACCAGCATGGGCTCAAGGGAAATACACAGTGTGACAAGCATGGACTCCTCCCGTCCTCAGATATCACTTGAGGTTGAACTAAAATATCAATTTGCCAATCCAACTTTTGGAACCATTTCACAATTGTTACCATACTAAACCATAATATGTCTGCCACTTGAACCCCACCAGGATTTTTACCCCAGATTGGTGAAGAGGTCCTGGCAGCTCATAGTTTTGACCCAACTTTGTCAGACTTGTGTCATTCCTGTCGGCCAATGTACTTGCAGCCAGAAATTTTTAAAAGATGACCAAGATTTACAAATTGTTAAATCAATATGAATTTATATACAGCTGTTGGACATAGGGAGCATTGTAATGGAATTATTGTGTGTGTGGGTGTGCATGTGTGTGTGTTTTTACACTGAAATTTATAAGTAATAAGCAAACTCAAAAACTGTACATTATGTTGGCAGTGGCAGATCCAGGAAATTGATGTAGGGGGAACACAGGGAGGGATTTTCACAGATGGAGGGTGTAGACCACCTTCAACCTGACACTGGTTGGTTCTAAGCTTTGGCATTTTGATAGTTTTGGCCATGTGAAAGATCCTCTTGTTTTTTATGAATATTAAAGATGAAGGGGTAAATCAAACTCCCAGACCATTAGGTACCTAATTTGTCATTGAAATGACACAGTAACATATCTAGGAATTATGAAATGGGGGGTGGGAGCACTGATAGTGGGGTAAAAAGGTAAAGTGAGGGGACACTACCCGCAAAATAAAATGATACAAGGTCATTTTTATCTACTTGAGCGTGATTGTTTTGCTTCAAACCTTTTCAATGTGATGCAACTGGGGGGAACGAGCATTTTTAGGTGTGTAAACAATCCTACTCTTTGTCCATAGATTGAATTCTCATATTTTGTTCTCAAAAGTTTTACCAAGACCATATACTTACAGTGAATAATAGTAGGCTTATATTTTAGTGTATTCAATCATTGTATAAATTGTATAAATTAAGCATTATTCTTATTCTTTTATTTGCCCTAAAAAAATGATGAAAATATTATTTGCATATAAACGACAGTTTGGGTTCTAGCAATTCATTGGATCAAACATTCTCTGTCAGACCAACCACTTCATTGAGGTGAAAGCATTTCACTGTGGTCAGGGTGGTTCTAGATAATGAATTTTCTGTGCGCAATTTGGACTGGAAAAAAGCAAAGGACCTGAAATTAAGTGCTTATTCTAATTCATGTTATTGTGTTTTTTTTTTAAATTTAATTTTATTTAGTTTAATGTTATTAAACATTGCTTTATATGTTTATTTTCAAACATCTCTAAGAAATACTGCCGCTCAAAAATTAAAATATGAATCGGAATTACTCATTTTTCAGAGGTATTTTCCCCTAAAAATGACCAAAAAAATCATAAAAAACTAATTTTGAAATTAAATTGCTCAATTTGCAGTAACCGTACACATTATTAACTTGAGTATAGCAATAATTGAATTTAAAGTCCATCTCGAATTTAGTCTTTAGTTTTCAAAAGAAGTATCCTCGAAAAGAAACACATGGGATTTTTTTAACGATAGCATGGGCTTCTGTTCACCGTAGGCCTACATGAATTTTAAAGAAACAAAATAATTTATAAAAATGCTTGGTTTACACAGTAGTTTATGTGATTTAATGCTGGTTAATACATGATACAAACTGATGTTACAGTGGCCCTATTTATTTATTGTTTGATAGTAGTACTGTAATTTCCAAACTTTACAGCATTATTTTTTAAGGAAGCCCCCCCCCCCCTTTCCTTATTTTGCAGAGTAACCTTGAATAGAAGCCCATCTTAAAAAGAAGCCCATCCAAAGTTTGTCAAAAAATAACGAAGCCCAGGGCTTCTATTCAAGTTTTTACGGTATGTGTGAGCATGAGTAATGCCAGCAGGACAACCCCTTTTGAATGATTCAAAATTGCTCTGTCCCAACCAATTTATGTTGTCATAGTTAAGTTGCTCTGCTCAGTCCCCATGTTCCTGAAATAATTGTATAAATGTAATACTGTGTTTAACATGTTCTTAAGTTATTAGCTCTCTTGTATTCATTGAATGTAATTGTTGCTGTAGTTTTTGCCATCTAATTGTGTGTCTCACAGCAATATTAACAAGTCTAATTGTTGAAACATTGAAAATGATACTTTGCCTATGGAATTTGAAGTGTGTGATTATGCGAATTAATTTTTTTAATTAATCAGTGGAACTTTCAGTTGATTTTTTTTTATCAACAAATGAACTGCTTTATGTTTACTTTTTATAAGATAATTTTATGAAAAATAAATTCCATTTTTGACCTCTTTCTGCCATGCATCTCTGAGCAATATTACCGTAAAAAGTCTAAAACTTTTTAAAACATTGAGAAAAATAATTTGCCTATGGAATTTGAAGTGTTTGATTATGCAAATTGATTTTTAATGTAATACTGTATGTTTTTTTAAGATAATTAAAAAAAAAATAAATTCCAGTTTTGAATGTGTAATTAATGAAGTTCATTATTCTTTATATTTTGCATTGCTGAGTGGCTTGATAAAAGATACAGACCTTATAGTTTCTCGCTTGTAGGTAAATTCGATTCAACTACATCTGCTTGGTATAGGGGTGGGGCGTGCTTACATTTTAGGGATCGATGAATTTATTCTGGATAATAATATTATTTGGTGCAATTCAGTGTTTTGGTCTTCGATCTGTTTTGAATAAACAAGAATAAAATAACATACAATTCGCCCTCTCGAGGCCACATTTAATATTGAAAAATGTGGAGTGGTCTTGGGGTTGGTCTCCAAATAGGTGTTGGTTAGCTGTGTGTTAAACGGTTAAAGATTGCTAGTTTGTACTTAGTAAAAGTGATCTTGAATTAAGCGGGTCTCGAATTGGAGGGCCGGTTTGGTGCGTTAATCAGGCGTTAACTGAGCCTTCAGTGAGTGCGTCGGAAATCGGGTCTCGGGGACTCCATCGCCAGAAACAAATCTGCCATGAAAAACCCATCTTGCAAGTTCATGATACAGGTCTCGTTCCAAAGACCACGTTTGGGGTTTCAATGGTCTTTAGCAGCTTTGGTTAGAGAAATTTAAAAAAAATAAATCAAGTTCAATTTGGTCTCTAATTAAAAATTTTATATTACAGAAAAGTGGTCTTATTGGAGGGAAACATGTATTTGCATGTTTTGACTACTTTATTATCATTGAAATTTCGATGGTATTATTAGCACAAATAAAATTTACAAATGCGCCAGTGTCACAGGAATTTCGTGGCCTTATCCGCGTGCAACCGAATCTTTATTTTGCCTGGAAATGTGAACTGCATGGACCTACAAAAACTATAACTTTCAAAAGAAGAAAAATGTCGTATTCGCCGTTTCCAAATAATATATATAGGCCTACGTCTTCAAACAGCGTTACAATGCCTTAATATTATTTTCTACAACATAACATTTTTTCCCTCCGGAGCATGAAGACCAAATCCTTTTCCGTTTGACGTGAATGTAATGTTTGCCCAATAATGTAGAGCCACGTAGACCGTTTACCAATCGAATAAACATATGACACGGAAGATCGCAAATATTGTCGAATTATTCACACGGTCATGACTTTCAATCCAAAGGTTACTAATGAACACAAATAAAGTAAGTCAAAGCATATTTCTCCATGGTCAAAGGTAGAGGCTTATAAAAGACGGCAATGGTTAAACCATGATTATTTTTCGTAATTCAAACGTCGTAATTTTATAAAGTAGAAAACCAAACAATGTAATGGTGCACAAGCCTCACCGATTCAACATGTTTAGATAGCTTCTAAATTGGATAACAAAATCAGTAGCAGGCCCTTAGTTTCTGTGACACGGTCGGTCTAATCCAGTTGGTACACGTGTTGGTAAGCATGGAGCATCCATGGTAACTGTAATTCTTCACACCATGCGTGTGAAAACACTCTTAACATATACGTGTACGTAATTCGCTTCCTGTGAAATTTGGATTCGAGAATCTTCGATACAATAAAACCATTTAATTCTATAGTAGAGAGGCTATAGTTCATTACTCCTGGTCAGTTTATTTCTCTCCTTTCCAGATAGGCCTACTGTATATATCTATTTTGAAGCCATTCGAATATGGGATTGGCAGTAATTCATGAGCAAAAGTTAGGAATGCTAAGAATACCAAATGAAATTGCATATTGCTCACGTTAATTTTTTTTTCCTTAAAACGGGGTTTTCGATGAATACTGCTCATATATTAAGGGCCACAGCATACATCTAGATGTGTATAAGAGACAGATAGTAGGCTTATATTTTAGTGTATTCAATCATTGTATAAATTGTATAAATTAAGCATTATTCTTATTCTTTTATTTGCCCTAAAAAAATGATGAAAATATTATTTGCATATAAACGACAGTTTGGGTTCTAGCAATTCATTGGATCAAACATTCTCTGTCAGACCAACCACTTCATTGAGGTGAAAGCATTTCACTGTGGTCAGGGTGGTTCTAGATAATGAATTTTCTGTGCGCAATTTGGACTGGAAAAAAGCAAAGGACCTGAAATTAAGTGCTTATTCTAATTCATGTTATTGTGTTTTTTTTTTAAATTTAATTTTATTTAGTTTAATGTTATTAAACATTGCTTTATATGTTTATTTTCAAACATCTCTAAGAAATACTGCCGCTCAAAAATTAAAATATGAATCGGAATTACTCAAGCGCACTCTGAACGTTCTTAGGACTGTTTGAGAGGATAAAGTGAAAATTGCAATAGACGCATTATAAATAAGCGAAAAAATAATTATATAATAAATCAATAGTGGAATTCGAAAGAGAGGTGAACCAGGGAGGGACTTTCACAGACCGAGGAACCACCCACCTCAGCCCCACCATGGTTGGGGCTGAGGTAAGAAAATTTATGATTAGGGCATCTCTAGATGGCCGGAAATTACACTCTCGCACTTCAATTTGAATATATTTTTCCTTTTTTTGCTTAAAAAAATGAAGGGGGGTGGGGGTGCCGCCTTGAATCCACCTCTGCTCAAAACATTCTTTATCCAGAATAGTCATAATCACGAAAAATGGACATGAAATACCAGATCACATCCTAAAAATAAACAGCAGTCACTAAGACATACATCAGGAGCCGACTCGATGGAGTTTAATGTCATACCCAGGGAAGGGCACAGATCTGTTTTGAAAGGTGGAGGGGAGGGCATTTTGTAAGTCGACACCCACCCCAGCCCCAGCCCAACAATGGTTGGAGCTGAGGTGAGAAAATAGTACCTCTAGATGGCCAGAAATGACACTTATAGTAAAATTAATCATCATCATATCACCATTAGTCAAAACGAAGTGCCAAAAGAAATTCATATGATATTTTATCAGGGATTTTTGACAACTATAGAGATCTTATTAATGTGTGTGTATACACCATAGAAAACAAAGCTTTAAAACATTGTCTTTGAGTATGTACTTTACATAGGCCTACTTCAAAAACGTGATTTCAAAACCACCTCAGCCTCACCATGGCTGGGGCTGAGGTGAGAAAATTTGAGGAAATAGTACCTCTCGAGATGGCCGGAAATGACACGTTTATATAATAAAATTCATCATCATCACATTACCATTATAGTCAAAATGAAACGCCAACAAATTTCTCATGATCTTTTATCAGGAATCTACTTAATATCCAGGACAACTTAGGCCTGATTATAGCTTATAAGAACTATATATACTATAGTATGATCAACAAATCACAACTTTTTTTTTCGCATTTAGCACAATTTTCTTCACTTTTTATTGCTATTAATATTATTATCAATTATTACTATCGTCATTATCATCATTGTTAATATTATTATTATTATTACTATTAGTAGTAGTATTATTAAACAAACATTTAAAGAAACTTGCAAAAGGATAAAAACGAAATTGAACCACAGTATTGCATTTCTATCTTAAAAGACCTGGCCTGAGATTTATGGATTTAAGATTTTTTTAAATCACGCTTAGGCTTATGTGTTCTATTAGGCCTATGTATAACGTTTACTGATGCATATTTACATGTTTAGAAGTATTCATTTTAAGTGATCCCAGGAAATAATTTGTATTGGCTCAAGAATAAGCTTTAAAATGTTAAAACTGTGTACAAAGGGGGGGGGGGAGCCGCGGCTCCCACGTCTCCCCCCCCCCCTGGATACGTCCCTGTTTCACAACGTTTTTCGGTCTATTTCCTAGCTTTAAAGATGCGTTACATTGCTGACACAATACGCCAAGTGTTGACGCATCGAATTCAGCTGTGTGAAGTGTGATTTCTTTGATTTCTTTCCCTGTTGTTTTGGTGTCAAAACTGCAGCAGGTGCTTGGTGAATCCAAGTTATTTTTTTAGGGAAGCAACATGACAATTACATTCTGGTTGATGATTTTTTGCTGTTTTACCTCATCAACAAATAGCATTGATCAAATTCCATCGCTTGCCAGTCCAACGGAAGAGAGACCTGCACGTGGAAATACTTGTTTTTGTCAGGTAGGTAAGCTAGGCTGGCTGAGCAAAAGGTTCATTGAGCAGGTGGAAACACAAGGCCTTCCAGAGCCTCGGATTACCCGTTTGATTTGTGACTGCTGGGTCTGCTAGGCTAGGTAGGAGTCAGAATTCGAAAAGGCATCAATGAGTAAGAACGACCATATGTTCCATTGGAGGAGACAATCTTTATAGGGCTTGTATAGTACTTAAATATCATGATATTTTTGTCATTTAAGTATAATTATGTAAAGTATAATGAAAGAAATTAGTTTATTTTTTTTGGTTTTTTTTATACTACGCGCAACAACAGCAGCAGCAGCAGTAGAAAAAGTAGGCTAAACTTACGACCCTCACCTTTGGCCAAGCCCTACGCTTAGATAATTAGGGCTAGGCCTGGGCCTCCTACTGATTGGTATATCCATAAATCATAAATAATTAAATAATAAAAAAAATAATTTAGCTTAGCAGTAGAAGTGTCATTATATTTGACGTAGGCCTAGCTACAGTAGGCCTAGTGCAACATTAAGATCATGCACT